AGAATTCCCCAGCCAGCATGGCTGGCTGGGGAATTCTGGGAGTTGAAGTCTGCACATCTTAAAGTTGCCAAGTTTGAAAAACACTGTGTAAACTGCATGTATCTGCCTTCCCTCTGTAGACACCCTCCCGCTATGTTGAACTTCATCTCCCAGAATCCTCAACAATTTCTGGGTTGGGGATTCTGGAAATCAGTCCAACCATCTACCCAATATCACATTGGGGAAGACTCCAAGCTGCCTATAAGACCTTCAAAACTAGATGGAGGAGCACTGCGAAATATTTTTTGGAGGCCCGGGTCCTCTTCCCTCGCCCCAGACTTTCGAAGAGATGGAAAACTGGACCATGGATAGACACGATTTGCAGAACTGATTTTTCTGACTGTCCCATCTTCGGAGCCATGGACGAATCCAGCGGGCGGAAGAGATGGCCGCGCCCTACTTCATTCTTCTCTTTTAATACTTACTCCAGATCGCATATAAAGTCCACTGGTGAAAAACCCTTGGCAGGCCAGGATATCCTTCCAGGGGCTTAAAAGGGTGGCTGTCATTGCCCCCCCGCCAGTCTGATTCTCCAGTTCAAAAGGCTCTTGACCGATTACAAAGGCGCCAATGAACTCAACAACTGATTGGGAAGGACCCACAATAAAGCCGGGAGGTCAATGGAAGTCAATGATTGTCCGCAGCATCTAAGAAGGCTGCAGAGATGGGACCCCCGATGCTGCCTTGAAGAAGAAACATAACCCTTCCTTCTCCTTCGGAAGGGTGCATTCCTCAGCCAAACGGTGCAGTTTTAATTTCATTTAAAAATGCCCTTAAAGCTCACCCCGTTAAGCGGCTAAGGATTCCTGAATAGGCATGATAATTCGGGAAAGGGTTTCAGCGTGACTCTTCCCGTCTACACTGACAAGAAGGAGGTTAAGGCAAGGCGATACGATGGTTAATGTCTTTTAGTCTAATCTTTTTATCTTACTTTAATCTTTTACTCCCGGTGTGACTAAAATTTTAACCTTCACGGCCATTTCTTATTGTGAAAGGAAGTACTGTAATGGCAAGCAAACCAAAATTTCTTTTTTGGGGTGGGGAAATGCTTTCACGTTTCACATTGTGGGTTTTTTTTCCTAAATACATCTCAATTTCAACTCCGTGCTTGCATTTGTCTGATTGCACGCTTAATTAAAACCGTTCAAGACTCCACAGCTGTCCCTGTTCCACCAAGCTCGGTTAGTGTTAACCAGGGTTATTTTTTTTCCTGTGATTTAGCATATCACGCAAACCCAGCCTGTTTGATTAGCTGAAGATTCAGCATCTTGAGCAAAGGCAGAAAACAAGTTAATTCAGTGCAACAAAGCCTATTTTACAAATGCCAGCTCTGAATCCTGGGAAATCTGCAGTGAAATATATATATATAAAAAAAAAATCCCCCTCTCACTCCCACGGCCTTTGCACCACCGCAGCCTTCCTGAACCTGGTGTCCTGCTGCAGGCCAAACTACAGTGTCCATCATCCCTAGTGTGCTGGCAGGGGATGATGGGACCTCCAGTCCTGCCCACTGAGGCAGCTCCACGGGCAGGGGGAAGCTGCTTTCAAAAACAACCGCTTCTGCCCATCACCTCCAGCCCCCGTGAAAGTCCTCCCAGCCCCAGGACAATGCCCCCCGGGCTCTGACGAAGGTCCTGCCCTGTCCCTCTCGTGCGTCAGACTTATCCCAATCCATTTGGGATTTCAGCAGGCCTCTGTCAATCATTAACCAATTAATATTTGCTCGTTAAATATCGCTCCTAGGCAATGTAAACACCCCCTGTCCTTTGGCCTCAAGCCTGATGGACCAGATCTTCCCCCCCCACCCGCTCATTCCCGGCCATCGACCCGCCATCCAATCATTCGGCCCCCCAGAATCCAGGGGTCCTACTGTTGCAGAAGCCCCAGTGAGCCACGGCTGGCACGACAGCCCCGCCCTGGGGCACGGGCTCCCCGCCTGACTTGCTTCCCGGTTAGGTGGCTTCTGTGACAGATCCAGTAAATGAAATAAATAGATCACATGTTGATTGAGGGAAAGCGTGTCTCTGAGCATGTGCAGGAAATGCAAATAGCATTCGACTCTCCCTTCCAAGCCACGGATCAGAGGGAAAAAAAGAGTTTCTACCTTTGGAGTAAAATATTGGCTGCCGACCACTTCCAACCACCCAGGGGTTTCAGGAGGTTGGGGGGGCAGGCAAAAAAAGTCAAGATGGCAGCTGAGACCATGCCATCCAAGTCACCATCTTGACCTTTTGGACCCCCTGCCCTGCAAATGCTGCTGGGCACTTGGAAGTGGCGAGGGACACACTTTTCCCTCCAGCCCCAGATGTGGAAACTCTGTAAGCACCCCCCCGGATCTCTGGGTCTCCCTCTTCTTGCAGCGCAGGGCCAGGTGGCCCCCCTTCGACCTCACCCCCCTCACCAGCATGTGCTCAGCGAGCCAGCCTTCATCCTTGGCGATGCAAGAGGCGATGCGCAGGGCAAAGCATTTTTTTCCCAGGAGAGAATTGCCCCCGTAGCCGCTGCCAAACGAGACGATCTCTCGGCGTTCTGGCACGTGTGCAATTAACGTCTTCTCCGGGTTGCACGGCCAGTTGTTCACTAGGTCTTCTGCAGGAGAGACAGAGAAGAAGACACTTTAGGGACCACGCATCAGGATCTTAACCCAAAGGGCGCTCCAGCATCTTTGAATCACAGGCAGTCTGGGGGCTCTCGAGTGTGCTGGGGCTAGCAACTGGGAATTCTGGGAGCTGAAGTCCCCAAACCTCTGGAATAATCTCCTCCAGCTTGGCATGTCCTCCAAATACAGGCATCAGCTCCCAGAATCCTCAGGAACAGCAAGCTGCCTCAGGAATTCTGGGAACGGTCCACCCAGCTTTTTTTTTAATGCAACCCCCCCCCCCTGCTATTCTTGTTTTGCCTGAGCATCTCGATGCGTAGCCTCCTCGCTGCATGACGCGAGGAAGGGTTGATGAAAACCTGAAAAATCTGCTGAAAGGAAAGAGAATCTCTCCTCGTTCCCGCTGGCGGCTTACCGCTAAGGGGCAGGGGACGCCCCACAGAATGCAGGCATTTGACGAACTCTCCGTCTCCGAGCGCGCGGAGGGCCGCGGTGCCCATCCGTGTCATGATGCGCATGCTGGCGACCACGTAGGCCGAATCCGTGAGCTGGATCCCGATTTTGGAGAGCGGGGAGTCTATAGGGCCCATGCTGTAGGGGATTACGTACATGGTGCGACCTGCGAGAAGAGAGGGACCAGGGAAGGGAAGAGAGATTGAAGAGAATGAGGAAAGAACCGACTTGGGACAAAAAGTCTGCCCATCCAGGTGCGCTTCGGGTTCCTTCATTGAATCGAACAATGTCATATTGTTTGGCTGTATTAAATCGAAGACGTCCTCATCGTCATCCTCATCATCTATCGGACCTAGGAAGAGGGCCTTCTCCATGGCGTCACAGCTTCTGGAACAGCCTCTCCTCGAGGTCGGTACGGCTCCCACCCCGGCGGTGTTCAGAAAGTCATTGAAAAGCTGAAAAGCTAATTATTCCTCTAGGCCTTGGGGCAGAGCCGTTGTTGAATTCCTTAGAGCAGTGTTTCTCAACCTTAGCGACTTGAAGATGGGTGGACTTCAACTCCCAGAA